CTCGTAGTCAATGTTCAAAGTCACTCCATTACCAAGAAATCGTAAAAATTCAGTTTAAAAAACTTAGATATACATTTATTATTTTAATTAATTTTATAATTAAAATTAATAATAAATCATTAAAATTATTATATGATATATATATATATAAAGCATATTTTAGTAATTGAACATGGCTGTTGCTTCGATCGTGTGAATGAGTTTTTCATAAAAGATTATCTGAATTTAGGCCTATTTACAATGCACTCGTTTGTTAAATTCTGTCGAAAATATTTAACTTTAAAGCCTTATATCTGCTAAAAAATAACGTACAGAATTTATATAAGCTAAATTATAAAATTATTAACTTTATTAAGTGTTAAAACGATCACATTCAAGTATTAATGATGTTGCATTCGAATTAATGTGTCGCTTTCAGTTTTAACTTTAAATAAATTTATAAAGTTGATTAAAATATTTTAGTAATATCTATATATTTATTAAATTTTATATTTTTAATTAATTATAAGCATTTTAATTAACTTTCCGACATTAAAAACTTAGGTTTCGTTTTAAATTTAAAAAGAAACCAATTTCTTATTATTCTTATTTATTTTATTTAAAATTATAATACTTATAATTAGAATATAAAATTTTACATAATTTTATACCTATTAATATAAAAAATTTTATTTAAATTAAGTAAATGTTTAAGAATATTAAGCTTTAAATAACCATATCCTGCACTTTAGCAATGCAATGCATACTGTAACATTAAAGCATGTAATTTGAACAATTTTAATTAAATTGTTTAAATTATATTATTTATTTTATATATAATCGTTAAAAGATTTTAAATAATTAATAAATAAATCGTTATATAAATGTATAAGTCTTTTTAAATAACTATAAAACAGTATTTTCAATCTATCGTGGTTTTTGATTGATTACTCATCATAATTAACAATTAAACAAATAGTTTATTAATTAAAACATTTTATATACATCTGGATATAATTTTATTATCTATTTAATATAAAAAGTTTAAATAATTTTTAAAATTTTAAAGAGTTTTCTGCTTGTGTATCATCTAAGTTCTGTCACTAACTCTTCCATAGTGATTTGAAGTTTCCTTAAAATTTCTTGAATAATCTTTTATAAGGATGATAAAATTATGTTGAATTAAAATTATAAGGTCTCTATAAGGATTTAAAATTGAATTTGTTTAAATAAATATATAAATATTTAAGAAATTAGCATTAAACTTATGGCTAATATAGTATCAATGTTGATCCTTTCATTCTGCTGGAGCTCCGCAAATTTATATGTCGGCTTTTTTATATATTAATAGAAGGTTTATTAAAAGTATATAAGAAGTTAGCTAATAGTGTATAGATAGTTATAAACATAAACATTCTTTTATTTATGTAAAACAAGTTTTAAATAATAAACTAAATAAGCAAACTACTTGAAAAAAACAAATAGTGTCGGCATTCATCTTTTAATAATTGAGTACACAACCAGATAAACGTTTAAAACGTATATAGTGATACATGACGATTAAGTAGGAACATAATTACACAATTATGCCAAATATAATCTTTAAGAACAATAAATAAAAGGAGGTTTTATAGATACAGTTGCGTTAGGCCAATTTTCAATATGGCCGGCTTATAACTTCGTGATATTAAATTTTAACGATATTACTTGTGAGTTTGTATATATTTCAGGATTATAACTTAATTATATTGTTAGTATAGACGATGTCTTATTTGGAGCACGCAAAGACTCACATCAATGATTCCCCCTTTCCTAACGTTGTCTATTGTCACTGGACCATTTATGCTCTGATGTTATCTATTGTAAATAGGAACATGGCTCGTTCTATCGACAATTCGACACAAATGAGTGCTCCTAACATTGCATGGATGAAGCATGTTATAATATCAGACAACCCTTTTATATACACACACACTTATTGCTGATCAAAATTGATATACACTGCCATTAACTGGTTGTTAGCTTTTTCAATATATATTTTTTAAATTTTTCTCGTGTTGACATTTTTCTCTAACTGTTTGATAACTCAAATAAAAAAGAAAGTAATATATTTTGATACAAAAGAAAGTTAATGCTACTTTGCTATGTTATTTCCAAATTAACTCTATTTAAAGGTGATTAAAGTTAATTTGCTGTTGTTTAGATAATCCTATTATATGGGAATGTAGGAAATTGTCGTATATACTTTACGAATGACAAATTCAATGAAATTAAGTGATATTTCGTTAATTATAAAGTTAGTTTTCATTTTACAACTTTTAATAATTAAATATAATTTAAGTAATTGAAACGGAATGAAATTGTATTTGAAATTTGTTCATTCTTATTAACGCTAATTACCCGTTTCATTCCGTTGATCAGCTGTTTTTTCAAATCATTCAAAAAACAAATCAATCAGAACGTATGTGACATCAGAATCATAACCGTTTTTAAACAGGAGCAGCTGATAATTTTTATTGATTTGGGATAAATGAGCAGATGATATTTTGTTTCCGTTGTATTTTATAAAAGCAGATGTTCTCGTTCGAAAGGTGTTTAGATTTAATGCTCTTATCCGGTTTATTCCTTATCTTTTAACGTTATTTTAACCCCATTGTTTTACCTGTAATGATGGGTTTCTGTTAATATCCCGACTCGTTTCGAAAAATATTTAACCTTCTTTATCCAAACTTATTCTGTTTAATTCTACACTTAATTAAAAAATTAATTTATAATGGAGGTTCATTGAATGTTTGGTTTACTAGTATATATTAATATGTAAAGGCTGCAAAATTGGCTATATTATAACGAATTCGAGTAATAAGCAATTAACATAATAATACAGACTAATAATGATACGTTTCTTCTTTTAATGCGCGTACTTATGACTATTATTAAGTTTATTAATAAATATAATTTTATCTATTGATATTATACATTAGAACAAACACAATAAAATTTAAAACTTCATATCTTAAAATACAGTAGTACCTCAGGATACGAACGCTCCAGCATACGAAATTTTCAGGATACGACATGANATGATACGTTTCTTCTTTTAATGCGCGTACTTATGACTATTATTAAGTTTATTAATAAATATAATTTAGAATAGCTGACTGCTCCGTATGTCTTTTATGTTTAACGGAAAGCCGAACATGCAGGGTTGCGAAACTTTGTAGTTTCCCTGCAAGGCTCGATTTGCTAGGTGGGTGTTTCGATAAGCTCACTTCAGGGGTCAGATTTTTATTTCTTGAGATAGATGATAGATAATAGTTGTAATATTCGAAATATCAGCTTCGTCGCATTGTTCTGTAGCTGTTAATTTTTATCTTTATGCCGCCCGAATTTAACGGGTAATAACTTTATAAAGGAATTAAATTCGATAAACTTAATATATTGTCTGCATAAAATAACTATTTAGTTGAATTATGTGAACCGAAAACAGTCTTAAATGATGTTTATATAGTGATAAATAAGTAAGTGTTGTATTAGGGATGACTTAATTAACGTATCAAGGCTTAATAACTGTGTAATTTTAATACCTGATGCGTTTGAGTTAAGTGAGTGGAGCCACCAAACCGTAATCACTATAAGGGTTAGAGGTGGGGTGCAGAGAGTCGTGTCCATCTTGATGGGTTGAAGAGAAAAATGTCCTTCTTCCTGGAAAAAGGGAGCATGTTGTTTGGTGGGCTGTGCCCCCGTGCCTGTCCAGGGGGCCCTAACTGGGCTATACTGTAAAGGAACCGCATCATCCAATGCCCGAAGCACACATAACTAATCCCAAGACAAGAAAGAGAGTGTTTATCGCGTATATTTTAATATTTTATTTTCTGGTGTATTTAAGCAAGTCGAAGATGTTGTTAAGGCAATATATCTTGAAACTTAGAGTGGGATTTTCCTTTTAGGATTAACAAACGGGTGAAATGTAATCGATTTTGACACCCTTTAGAATGTTTACCTGTCAATATAAGTGTAACAGACGCCGTCTGGTCTCAGTTTGTGAATGACTGACATTTCTGATCCGCTTCTTTGTTAATATTGGATATCATTGTGTCATCTTGATCGATCTATCGTATTATTTGGTTTTTTCAGTTTCGAATTTGTTTCGATCTGTACTGTGATCAGAATGATAGATGCATGCTCCTCTTGACGACCAGACGACGCCATCTTGGTCGTGACCGGTTAAAAGATCACTGTACAAAAACATACCACAAAAACATACCCTACCGGAAATAATAACAATTAAATTGCATTTTTTCTCGTTTGCAGTGGTTTTAAACATGAAAGAAGTGGCATTTTTTCATAAAGAAACTAATGTCGATATTTTAAATCAAATATTTGGTCCTTGCCCATTTGGACTCTAATAAAAGCGAAATTCTTTATTGAAGCAAAATTAATTGTTTAGTTTAATGAGGTGGAAAAAATATAATAATAATTTTGAAATTAAGGAAGTGACAGGCATAGTTAATTTTTTTTTTTTTTTTTGTAACGGCCGATGGCTAAAACCTTGTTTAAAATAACTCTTTATTTTGATGGTGACATTCAAAATTGCGTAGAACAAATTCCAAAAATTTTCTATCGTGGGTTTGTTCGAACTTATTTTACGTTTTTTCCGACGTCAAAGTACCTTAAAGAGGATGTGAAAATTATAACGACATAGGTGAACAGTATGATATTGTTATTTCAACCTACAAAGAATCTCGATTTTGCAAGTCAAATTCATCATATGAACTTTACGACTTCAAATTGTTGTCTTAACTATATTTACATTCAGCCTTTTTAAATCGTAATTTAAATCCTTTGTCATTTAACTACAAAATTTTCTGACTTCGTAGAAATGATAAATCAGAATTTTTTTTCTAAAGTTATTTCTCTAAAAATATTCATTAATCTTAGAAAATTAGTCAGTCATTGTGATAGGTTTTAAAAAATAGATCCGTGGGCCTATTATAAGTATATTCCGGCGACGAATGGCATAAGGTCAATCACCTATAAGAAATATAGGCTTGGCTTTGAGACCATTAACTAACTGATCGGTGTGTTTACAGCTAACTGTGTCAAAGTGCGCAGTTTGCACAGAGACGCTCGGTATGGGCGGAATGCAGGCATATCAGCTGGTTAAACGGCTGGCTGGCCTGTTACCGGGCCTGCAGGCCAATGATGTCGTTGTGGCGTTTTCACCCACGCTCCCGCCAGCGCATCAACTGCTATAAATCCGTATTTATTCTACTTGATATTATGGTTAATGCTTATTTAATTACTCTTATTGGTTTTAATAAAGAAGATTTAAACTTACACCCATCTTGATTTTTTATCCGTTATTTACAGTAATATTGGAATTATATATGCTAAATTTGTCTTTTTCAGCTCCATGGCGATTATCACCAACACCCTCTAGTGCCGTTCCATCATGCCCAGAAAGCGTGCTGTGACGTCACAGAGAGAGGGTGAAGGACCAGACCCCGAATCGGAATTGCAACGAGATCCTTTCGCTTTAGAAGATACAACGAGTAATTATGAAGAAATCTGTGTTATTGGCACAGGTGCCTATGGCACCGTCTACAAAGCCAGGGACCTAGCGAACAAAGGGCAACTAGTGGCATTGAAGAAAGTCCGGGTACCACTTACAGAGGAAGGTGTTCCGATGGGTACTCTGCGTGAAATAGCGTTCCTGAAACAACTCGAAGGGTTCGAGCATCCTAATATAGTGAGGTAACACTTTTAATTTTTATTTAGAGAAATATATGTAAATAATCGACATTGGCACTTAAGTTTCGCTATTATAAAAAAAACAGCTATTCATTGTAATACCTTTATTATCAATCTAGGAAATTCCCGCTAATGCTTTTCTCGTTCATTCAAGGTAGGCCCGTGAATTAGGTCAACCGTTTTTATATTATTAATCTTCATCTCGGTTTTGTAAATAGTTAACGATCTCATCTCCTACAATCAATTAGGGAAAAAAAACCTGCGGTCCGTAAGTTGATCGTCCTTCGAGACCACCCACAATTAAACTTAGTCAGAATATTGTTACGCTCGGAACTCGATTAAAACGTTACGCATGCGGGGGTGATGTTCAGTTTAGAAGCATGCGTCATCGTAAGTGGTCAATCCTTGAAGTTTTCACCACTTCCTCTTGCAACCGGAAGCATTCCATATCGTATTTGATTCAGTTACCGGGTAGGCCAGAGAGATGTGCGCTAGTAGGACTACCTGTCCTTGAGAATTGGCTTTTACGTGGGTAGCGATTAAACTAGACAAAATAAGGATTATTTTTCTTCGGCGGCGAACTACAGTCGGAAGTGCGTGAGTCATGCGTCCATCTGACTCAGGATGTACTCATTCTAGGGATATCAGCGCTGTGACATCTAGTCTGACTCATTCTATTTTCACTAGACAGACTAATACTGAATTCGATTTAGAAGATATTCTTCTCGGCCGTTACTTCCGTGCCATTTGTCGAAGCGGAAGTAAAAAAATATCCGGAGAGACCGAGTTCCCACGCGCTAGTTTATAGCAACTCCGCCAAGAAGTCGTGGGAAAGTACAGATTTGCACATGTCCTACATACCGACTTATAAAAGCCTAATTTTGAAGGTGCAGGGATTTTTCTTTTCAAAGCGAGGTTACTTCCGCTGCGTCATTTCTTATCGGTGGTATTTAATAAAGGAAGCTGACAATCTCCTTCCCTATTGGTCAGTGTCTTCATCGGCAACCAATAACGGCGTAAAGAGCTCTGTTGCTATGGTAACATGAGTATCTGTTTGTTGTCTGTTTAGTTAGCGACAACACCACCTCGCGGTGCGAAATCGATTGACTTTTTTTTTATTAAGAAAATTTAAAAGGGAAATCTTTGGATAATTTGATGCCTATGATATCATGTCTGTAAGCGATATTTTACTTTAACAAAATTGTTCAGCTTCATTACGAAGAAAAAAATTCATTTTGGTTTATAAATAAATCTTAGTAATATAAATGAAAAAAATTAAATATATCAATTTAAAAATGACATCAGATAATTTACATTCCTTCGAGACAAATAAACGAGTTTTCATTCATAGCGATATATTTCTGTGTCGAATGTCATCTTATATCTCTCAGCAGAAATTTTAATCACAGGATATGTCGTGAAGGCTCAGTAGTATTAAGGGTGAACTGGGAAGTGTATATCCGCTAGCTGTTATACTCACTAGACATCAAAGCGGAAACCTTTAGCTATGGCAATCACCATTGGCGCTATAACTTCCTTTCTTTATCTAAAAAGATTCTAGTTGTTACTTTATGGAAGACAAACAGGTTATTTAAGATTTTTGCCACTTAATTCGAATTGATTATTGGAGAATTTTTAAAATATTGGAAAATGTGACGTAAAATCATAAAGAGAAAATTGTCGGCTGTGTTTAAATGGATTTTGACCGTTCATTTAGTTAAGACACAGCTGATCGGTACAGCTGGCCCAACTCCAGGAAGGTACTGTAGTAAGTTTGCGAATCAGCTGATGCATTTGTTTACTGTTGATAAGGGTAGTTTCCTGGCCGTGTCACGTGATTTGAGATCTGTGAGAAAATGTTCTCCGCTATGTTTTTCTTGTTGGCTGTCTGTGCTGTTTTTTCCTCTTTCTCATCCTTCTTGCGTGGCGTGTGCAACGAGGTCTAATTGACAATGGAACTTTTGTTACCGGTCGTTTGGGGAGATTCGTACCGGTGAAAGATATATAGAAATGAGCTGATTTTCCGGAATATTGTTATAGTTAAACCGACTCTTAAAATAAACTTTTCAGACAGATATATACGCATATATACATGTATAGCCCATGGCGTTCTCTCTCTCTCTCTCCCGATCACCGGCTGAGCTTTTTTATGCTAGTAATTTAATATAAGCGGTTTCGTTTTTGATCTGAATTCCGTATGATTGTATGGCGCCCCATCTCCTGCTGAGGAGAAAAACTAGTTTATTCTTGTGGGTGGTACTCTTAACAGTGAGTGGAACAAATTGTTCATTTGTCGTTTGTCATCAGTAAATACAGTGTTGATTATTGCTTGTTTACGATGTTTCGGTGCTCCCATGTTCATGGAGAACGTTTACTGATTGTCATACTAGATAGAAGCGATTATATGATATAATTCTGTTTAATAGCTTCCTACATGTTAAAAATCATATTAAAGTTACCGAAGAAAGAAAAAATCTCCCCTTCCCCCAACATGAGAGTAGGATTAAGTATTTCGTTCGAATGCATTCAGAAAATCTTCTAGGCATATGACTTATTTCCGGATGACGAATGCATTTAATATTTGACAAATTTTAGTATGATTAAATAGTTGACTTGCCCAACTGCATACTTCTCGAATTATATTCCAAAATTATTCGCATTTATTTATATAACTCAAAACAATTGCGGCCTCAATAATGCGATTTACATAAATAGAATAAGGCCAAGATTTAATCATATAAAGTAAACATTCCAAAATTGTTACTGAGTTAATGCTGACGTCATAAAACCAAATTCATCAAGGATATTTTAATTCTTACTAATTAATTTTTCTAATTCGCTACTACAAAGTTCGTCAAGAGAAATAAATTTAAAACGTGCAGATAATTATCTAATGATTTATAGATATATTTTGATGTTTCGGTTGTCACATTTATCTTCCAAAGTTATAGAAAAGAATTTATTATCGATATCTGACTAATTCCTGTTTGTTGGAGACTATCCAATTTCATACTCTTTGATACAAAGTATTAAGCCCACAGCATTTGTTATAACTAATATGGATTATAAGCATTCTAAATTCGTTTAACACTTTTCTAAATTGTCGTGATGAGGTTTATTAAGAGCTAATTAATGCTACATATTTCAAAGTAGCATAGGAATGAATGATCATTTATTCCGAATGAGTTATTATGTTATGCTAATTAATATACTGTGCGTTAAATTTAGTCGCATTAATTTATTCTATTTACAGTTATTTCTTTCTAATGTTTCTCTGAGTTGAAACTATCTCAGTGTATTAATAGTCAAATTTGTTTCATTTCAATATGATAGATATGTTAATTGAAAACTTATTAAAAATAAAAAAAATTATGTTTATTTCGTCCATTTTGTATACGATTGTATATGGAATAAAAAAGTGGGAAAATTTATAATTATTTTGTCAATTTTCTTTTAATATGTAGTAAAATGAAAAACTAATTATTATGATATTAAACATTTATTACAAAATTTTAACGGAGACTATTTTAAAATTCTACTGCTTAAACTTGTATCTTTATAACTGGAAAAACAGCTGAAAATAGTTATTTTTAAAGTGATTCTTATAATAATAATTATTATTTTGTTTAACTTACTTCTTTTATTTAATCACGCACGTATTGTGATTCATAATTATTGCAGTCTTTTCTCTTGAAATCTATTGAATTATTTTCTGAAACTTTTGGCATAAATTTATTTTAAAATGGAAATGTCGTGCAAACATTTTATACACGGATATGTGAACTTAGGAGCTTAAAACATTGTTTTCAATAAACAAATTGTTGCAATAGGTAAATGCAATCATTATGTTTCTGTATTTCTAGAGATAATACTAATAGCTACTTCGAAAAAGCACATATTTGTGGTAATTTCCGTTAAGAAACGACAATAGAAAATTCTAGAATAACTGTTCTGTATTCATAAGTTCGTATGTACTGTTTAGTAAACTATAATAGCATTGTTTCAATTATTTTTGGTGTTTAGAAAAACAAATAATGCATTTACTGAACTCTCCTTAATAAATATTTAATTTTATTGAAATAATATTCAAATTAAAAGTAATGTTTTATCTAACATATATTAGCTAAAAATATATACAAGTCGACCCCCCTATAACGCTGTTGATTGTTCCGTTTTACATGAATTCCATGTTGTACGAGTCACTTAGATTTTACAAATACATGAGCCGTTCACAGCCCGGCACACGTATTTGTAAAATCTAAGTGACTCGTACAACATGGAATTCATATAAAACGTAATAATCAACAGTGTTATAGGGGGTCGACTGTAATAAATAAATATAAATGCACTTAAATATTTCCTTTTCAGCCATATTCTTATAACTAACAAAACTTAACTTAATGAAGTTTAATTTTCTAAGTTGATTGAGTCTAATTTTCATTCTCGATAAAATAAATGAATGAAAAAGTAATTTGAAGATTAATCTACGTAACAGTAATGAATCGAAATGTTTAATATCTGTAAAATATTTTGAACGTATTGATAAATCAGAATTGCACAATCGTAAGTTTATTATATATTGACTTTTAGACAAACAATTTGGGCTTACAATTAACAGTAAAGCTTTAATTTATACGATTTGATTTTCTAATACACATTGAATATTGTTTAGCTTTTACAGTAAATTTTAAATACTTGTATTTCTTGTAATATATATTTTAATCTATTTTTGAAATAGAGTTGTATGTAAAAAAATTTTGTTTTTTAAAGGCAATTTGATTAATTAAGAGCCAGCAGACCAATTAAAAAATATAACTTCGAATATTATATTTTTTACTGCATTTAAGTTAATAAAACAAATATAAAAATTAAATATTGATTATCTGTCAGTGGAATTCTGTAATTCTTTTCAATATTAAAAAGAATTACAGAATTTTACTTTTCGAATATTTGGAATATTCACACAAAAAAAGAAAAAGAATTTTGGCTTTTTTTCCAGATTT